GTCAGTAAACACTTCTAGAGTTGAAGATAGCTGTGCAAGTGTGTAATAACAGAAACATGGCTCTCAGTTTGGAGTTGGGCGACTTGGATTCAAGTCCTAGGTCTGCCTTAGTGTCTCCTTCCATAAAATAAAACAACTAAGTTAAGGCCCTTTTGCAAAGAATTCTGAGAATTAGAAGCATATTTTAGTTTGATTCTTGGTCTTGTGCTTTGGATCTCCAGCTTACCTAGTTTAAAAAGATAGACTACAATTGATAATGCTGTGGCTATCTACTCATAAATTGCCATAATAAGAGCTAATATTTATTGCTCACTGTGTGTCAGGCACTATGCTAAGCAGGAATGGCAACCTCATGGCAACCCTCTGAAGAAGCCATTACTTTTGTCTCTCTCTCAGTGACCAGTAAGCCCTATCTTGAGGACACTTCCCTTTTCCCCCAGTGATCAGTTTAACTGATGGTTACTATTTTTCTAACTCAGGGGTAGGTGCTTCTGACATATCATATGATTTTGAAGTGATCATCTGTACATGGGAACAGAACAATGAAACTACGGTTAATTAATCCTCTTCTGGCTGAGCTAAGGTTCCTTAGTGAAGACCTCAAACAGACAGTTGGGTAGAGGCAGACATTTTAGCCCCAGCACAGTTGCATCTGAAGAGCTGGTGGCTGTTAGCTACAACACGTGTAGGCGGACTTCTTGTCAGTAAGAAATGCTTTTTATTTTAGTACGCTTTTGTCTAAAACTTCATAGTAATGTTATGAAAAGTTTTGCATTTGTTTATTTTAGGACATTTTAGTGGAGCAAAGGAAATATTGAAATATTCCTTTTACTTTGGAAACTATTTGAATAGGTACATAAGAATTTCCTTTGAGAATATGTTTTCTGTATTTCAAACTTTTGCTAAAACTTGTGGGATTGCATTTTGTCTTGAGTAAGAAGACATTTGCTTCATTAGGTAGGTATGTTATGCATTATTAAGAAATAGATTTCAGAAGATCATTTTCGTATGTTTTCAAGGGATGTGTCTCTTTCCATTCCAGGGTTCTTTCTGCTCTGGCATGTTGAATGGTAAACCTCTCTGGACAGACGTCCGTGTGAATTTCCCGAAGAATGGCTGGGCTGCGATTGGCACTTACTCCTTTGAATTTGCACAGTTTGACAACTTTCAAGTGGAAGCCCAAAGCTAATTCTCACTGAGCATCACAGAACACTCTTTGGATTTTCTTCCCTTTTATTTTTCTGCTTTTGGTTCAGAGCCAGTTCTTGTTTTGATGGACCAATATGTGAGCCTTTTGGAGGCTAAAGAGAATGAAGAGTAAATAGGGAGAAAAGTATATTTTTTCTTAAGTCTCTGGAAGATTTTACTAGAAATAATTCTGAAAAATAGATGAATCTTCAGCAGTACCTGATGTGTCCTCTAAAATTCAAACGATATATTGGGCCTGTCCTTAGAAGTGGTCTGGGTGGTTCAGACCTTGAAGCCTTGGTTTTAACGTTGAGGTTGCTCTCTTCATCTTATTTGCAAGTGATCATGCAGATGTCGATGACTTGATCATCACTGGGATGTATTTATTAATGCTGAGTGCCGACTGTGTGTCTCAGTGAGCTGATGTGCCTGTCTTGAGATAATGCTGCCATAATAAGAAGCTGAAGAACACTGGATGTGCTTTTTTTCTGAAAACCACTGCTACATATTATCCTT